GCTCAAGTGGTAGAGCACTAGCCTTGAGCTGAAGAGCTGAGGGACAACGCCCAGGCGCAGAGTTCAGGCAGGAAGAGGAGGAGGAGGAGGAGGCTATAAGGAAGAGGAGGAGGAAGCTATATCCCTGCCCTCTAGTTTCATTAAAAATTAAAATCATCAACAAACAGCTACATGTCCCATCTTCCTTTTGTTTAGAATCTTCTCAGAGGGTTGAAGGTATGGCTTACATTGTTTTGTTTGTTGGTTTGTTTTACTGGTTGTGGGGCCTGAACTCTGGGCCTGGGCGCTGTCCCTCAGCTCTTCAGCTCAAGGCTTACGCGCTACCACTTGAGCCACAGCGCCACTTTCGGCTTTTTTCTTCTTGTTTATGTGGTGCTGAGGAATCGAACCCAGGGCCTCAGGCATGCAAGGCAGGCGCTCTACCACTGAGCCACCTTCCCAGCCCTCATATTGAAAATTTTCTAAGTTTAAACCTCTGTACTTCGCGACAAGAAAACCTGTGCATGTTTGCACTGAGGCAGTGGAGTCCTCGGGTGAGCAAGGCCTGGACCGCGGCTGCCCCATTCTGCAGCCTGCCATGCAGCTCGCCAGGCTCCCCGCCTGGTGGGAATGGCCTGAACACACAGACAGACTGCACTGGAGATATCAACTTGTCCCAAAACAAGAATGTACAGTCCACAGGATTTTCTTTACTCCTGGTCCTAGGGCTTGAACTCAGGGCTGGGGCGGTATCCCTGAGCTGCTTTTTGCTCAAGGCTAGGGCTCTATCACTTGGCTACAATACTGCTTCTGGCTTTTTTGATAATTCATTGGAGATAAGAGTCTCAGGGACTTTCCTGCCTCAGCTGCCTTCTAACCTAGATCTTCTGATCTTAGCCTCTTGAATGGCTAGGATTACGAGCATGAGCCACCAGTGCCTGGTTCCACTGGATTTTTGTGGGGCTTGAACTCAGGATCTGGGCACTGTCCTTGGTCTGCTTTTGCTCAAGACTAGCACTCTACCACTTGAGCCACAGCACCACTTCAGCTTTTTCTGTTCATGCGGTGCTGAGGAATCGAACCCAGGGCGTCATGCATGCTAAGCAAGCACTCGACTACTGAGCCACCTTCCCAGCCCTCCACAGGGTTTTAAGGGCTGAATTGAGAGCTGTAGTTTCCATCTCCAAAGGTGACCAGGGCCTATGTCCTAGGGACCTTGTCACAGATATGCCGGGAGACGCGGAAGGCGCCCTGGTGTCCACACCGGGCCTTGGCTGCCTCTGCCCGCCTGCCCAGTGCTGCTCCCACAGAGCAGGCCCCTCCCACACCATGGACCAACTCTTTAGGGGACACAGCACCTCTGTCACTGAGCCGGCCTCCCAGAGTCCACAGGGGGCCTTCAGGAACAACCCCAGGGCCTCCTCCCTCCCCCGTCCCCAGCTTGCCAGAGTTGGGCCTTGGACACTCCGCTCTGCTCAGCCTCTTTCCACAACGCTCTTTACTCTGCAGAATTCCTCTGGCCTTCAGCCACTGGCTCTCCCTCCTCCCCACAGCTCCCCAGTGCCCACTGCCTCCAGGCTGTCCCTGCTTGGGGCTCAGACTGTGCATTTAGTCAGGAGGAGCTTTATTCTCAACTTCCCGGGCCTCAAGGTCCTGACTTCTCCCCTGGCCCTCAAATATCCCCTAAGGACTCCCATCCAGGCCTCTGCTGGTCTCAGCCCCAAAGCCTCTCCCTGTCCCCTCCCTGCTCCTTAGAGGACAGGAGGGATCATGGGAGGGATCAAGGCCTTCTGGTGCCAATATCTGGGAATTTCCCCTGACCACAGCTGGCGTGAGACCCAGCAGACCTCACCCAGGGCTGGCCAAAGTCCCTCAGCACGCAACCCACAAGTCAAATGAATGCAGCCTGGAGCTTGGAAGGAGAATCTACTGGGAAAAGGCAGGAAAGCACTTTAAACATGTGGAAATGCATGCAATGGTAACCTTAGCAGAGCAAAGGAAGGTCCTGCTTAGTTTTCCTTTCATCTATCATCCTCTTTCATTAAACATTGTGTGGTAAAATACACATGGGCCATCATGACCTTTATTTTCCCCCTCTGGTGGTACTGGGATTTTGAACTTGGCATTTAGCCTGCTACACACTTTTCCATTTGAGCCACACTTCTAGCCTTCTTTGCTCTGGTTATTTTTGAAATCTCATTTTTTGCCTAACTGGACTGGACTGTGATCCTCCTATTTACACTTTCCATTGTGGCTAGGATGGCAGATGCCCCCACACCCAGCTCATCTTGACAATGTAAATGGGCCATTCTGTATTACGTTTATTCATGTTGTTGAACAACCAATCTCCAAAACTTGCAAAACTGAACCTCTACACCCATTAGACAAATCTTTACTCCTCCTTACAGCCCTTGACAGGAGTGGTTTTAATTAATTTACTTACTATTTTTAGTGCCAGTATTGGGGCTTGAATTCAGAGCCTGGTTGCTGTCCCTGGTTGCTGTTGTTTGTTTTTTATTTTTTTGTCCATCATGGGGCCTGAACTCTAGGCCTGGGCACTGTCCCTCAGCTCTTCGGCTCAAGGCTAGCACTCTACCACTTGAGCCACAGTGCCACTTCTGGCTTTTTTCTTTTTTTTGCTTATGTGGTGCTAAAGAATCAAACCCAGGGCCTCATGCTTGCAAGGCAAGCACTCTACCACTGAGCCATGTTCCTAGCCCTGTTTGTTTTGTTTTGTTTTGCTTAAAGCCAGTGCTCTACCTCTAGAGCCACAGCTCTACTTCTAGATTTTTGGTCATTTGGAGATAAGATTATCTTGAACTTTCCTTTCTGTGCTGGCTTTGAACTTTGGTCCTCAGATCTCAACCTCTTGAGTAGCTAAGATTATAGGTGTGAGCCACCAGCAACCAGCTAATTTTTAATTTTTTTTTTTTGGGGGGTCCGGTCATGGGGCCTGAACTCTGGGCCTGGGCGCTGTCCCTCAGCTCTTCAGCTTAAGGCTAGCGCTCTACCACTTGAGCCACAGTGTCACTTCTGGCTTTTTTCTTTTTTGCTTATGTGGTGCTAAGGAATCGAACCCAGGGCCTCATGCATGCAAGGCAAGCACTCTACCACTGAGCCATCTTCCCAGCCCATAGGCTTTTTTCTTTAGTGCTGGTCCTGGGGCCTGAACTCAAGGCCTGGGTGCTATCCCTCAGCTTTTTTTTTTTTTTTTAATTGTGAAAATACCGTATAGAGGGGTTACAATTACTTTTTTTCTTTTGAGCCACAGCTCCACTTCCAGCTTTTTACTGATCTGTTGGAGGTAAGTCTCATGGACTTTCCTATTCAAGCTAGCTTCAAACCGTGAGTCTCAGATCTTTTTTTTTTTTTGGTCCGGTCATGGGTAAACTCTGGGCCTGGGCACTGTCCCTCAGCTCTTCAGCTCAAGGCTAGCGCGCTACCACTTGAGCCACAGTGCCACTTCCGGCTTTTTTCTTTTTGCTTATATGGTGCTGAGGAATCCAACCCAGGGCCTCAGGCATGCAAGGCAAGCACTCTACCACTGAGCCACCTTCCCAGCCCAGAGTAGAATTCCAAGTAGCTGGGATTACAGCTGTGAACCATGTTGCCCAGCAATGCTGGACTTTTCTCGGGAAGACAGAACTTAGAGACTTGGGGCAGGATAAGAGAGTCCAGACAGAGTACTGAGTTGTTCCCAGAGCTTCAGGATGGGACAGAATTTCAATTTCATTGAGCTCAGGAGAACTCTTCCCACAGACTCATTCCTAGGCTTTTGATTGGTCCACATCTCTTCCTCCAGAGACCTTTGGGCCAATGAGATCCAATCTGCTCACATGGCATCACCTGCTTGTGAAGGGGGCAATGGGCAGGAGGAGCATTCTGCTCTCCTGCCAAACCTGTGTGTTCTAGAATATGCAAAGTACCTGCCTTGCATAGCTTGAGGTTGAGGGGCAGGCGGTATGTGGAGGTCAGGAGGAAGCAGGTTGGGAGTGATAAGGATGCAGAGTGTAATTCTCTTGTGTTTATCTAGAGGTGTCAGTTGGTCTCATTACAAGCAATGGCTTTATGCACGCACTCAGAGAAAACCACAGCTAGTGACAGGGTGTGACCCTGTGTTAAGGAAAGTGTCAGGGTGCCTGTCGTTTTGCAAACAAAGGCAACACCAAGGAAAGCAGGGCAATTTGTTTGCTGCCCTCTCCAGGCAGCAAGGCTAGGATTAGAACCAGATCTCCTGAGTCTCGGGGCACCTCTGCCACCTGGCAGCTCTAACTGGCACAAATCCCAGAGAAGAATGGGGGCCAGGAAGGCACCAGGTGTCCCAGATACAGAGACAGAGTGGGCCAGAACCTACAGAAGCTCCCAAGCAGCAGGAAGGACATAGTGGCCAGGGAAGGTGGGTTGGAAATTGAGTGGGGAGCGTCTCAGGGGAGATGGCTGAGCCCCAGCTCACTTGGAGGGCTCAGCAGGGAGGGGTGGAGCTGGGGGCTGGGGCGTGGCGTCTGGCACAATAGTCCGTCCCACGAAAGACGACAGGGTCCTAGGAAAGGTAAATGCGGTGCTCGCCCCGTTCCCCAGCCTCCCTCAGCCCGGGAGACAATCAGACACAGCGGGGAGTCAAATCCAGCTGGTAGAAAACTCGTTTATTAACAGAGAGCAGCCCTTTTTAAAGCCAAAAAGGGCGGGTGGCATGGCAAGGGAGGAAGAGGAACCAATCACTGTCAAGGTCACACCCTATCATGCACCTGAGCCTTCACGGGCTGGTTAGGCCCTGATTGGAAGGTCATTTGGGCTTTGCCCACTCTGCTCTCTCCCAGCGCCATCTTTGCTGCCCATGTGCTCTACAATACAGGGCATCATGATGGGAGATCAGTCCTCTTCCTCTGTTTCCCTCAAATTTCAAAAGTGGGGGCTGGGCCCAGGCCAAGGAAGGACTAGGGTGTCTGTGGCCTCTGGGGGGAGGCCGCGTGGAAGGCCCCACGCACGGTGCGCCGCGCTAGCCGGCCCTGTGGAGCCGCGCCTCACAGCGCGCTGCCCGTGGTCGGCCTGCTGAGGCTGTGCGAGCTGCCGCGCCGCGCGTGGCGGTGACACTGCGTGGTGGGGCTCAGGGATTCCCAGAAAGTCTCCCGGAAGCGGCTGGACATGAGGCTGTAGAGCACAGGGTTGGCAGCCGAGCTGAAGTAGAAGAAGACTCCAGAAATAATGTGGATGTACTGGAAGGACAGGAGCAGGCCCTCTGACCAGTGGGACACGAAGCTCCACATGAGGCGTTCCGCGTGGAAGGGAGCCCAGCAGAGGCCAAACACCACAACCAGCACAACTGCAGGGACAGAAAGGGAGGTGTGGCTGGCAGCCAGAGCTGCTCAGCTGCCTTTCCTGAGCTTCTACACTCTTGCTAGCCAACAAGCTGCCCAGCACCCAGCTAGAAACTGGCCTGGCCTTGTGCCTTTGAAGGATGCTTCCATGCCACCTGACTGGGCAACTGGTCTTGTGCCCTCCTCCTGGCCCATAGCCAATGGACCAGATTGGCTACCGCTGGCCAATCAGAAGCTCCCCTGTGGAATTTAGAATGAACACCTAGCAGTGACTACTGAACTATTCCTATGGCCGACTGCGAGGCTGAGGACCAGCAGGGCTGAGGCTAGCCCTGCTGAGGCTAGCCCTGCTGATGTGCTCAGAGAGCCAGAGACACAGCAAGGTCATGGAGCCTACACCACCCCCCTCCCCCACTGCCCCGCCAGCAAGCACTATGCAACCCTTTGCTCCATCTTCCTTGAGAAACTGCCAGCCTTGTCCCTGTCCGTTCCCCAGCAAAGGGCAGCACAGGCTGTCCAGGCCCTCCCCCCTCTTCCCCTTAATGCCTTCCTTAACACACCATGACCTTCCTGGGGTCTTTGCCTCTGGGCCTGATTTAAAAAATTTTTTTTTCAGTCATGGGGCTTGAACTTGTGGTCAGGACACTGTCCCGGAGCTGTTTTGCTCAAGGCTAGCGTTCTACTACTTTGAGCCATAGCTCCACTCCCAGTTTTCTGGTGGCTCATTGGAGATAACCTCAGGGAAGCCACTGCTGGCTCACGCCTGTAATCCTAACTACTCAGGAGGCTGAGATCTGAGGATCTCTGTTCAAAGCCAGCCCAGGCAGGAAAGTCTATGAGACTCTTTTTATTTTTTGTCTTTTCTGGCTTTTTCTGCTTATGTGGTGCTGAGGAATCGAACCCAGAGCCTCATGCATGCAAGGTAAGCACTCTACCACTGAGCCACCTTCACAACCCTTCTATGGGATTCTTTTTTGGGTCCGGTCGTGGGGCCTGAACTCTGGGTCTGGGCGCTGTCCCTCAGCTCTTAGCTCAAGGCTAGCGCTCTACCACTTGAGCTACAGCACCACTTCTGGCTTTTTTCTTTTTGCATATGTGGTGCTGAGGAATCGAAACCAGGGCCTCATGCATGCGAGGCAAGCGCTCTGCCACTGAGCCACCTTCCCAGCCCATTCTATGGAACTCTTATCTCCAGTAAACCACCAGAAAACTGAAGTGGCACTGTGGCTCAAGTAGTAGAGCACTAGCCTTGAGCTGAAAAGCTGAGGGACAGAGCCCAGGTCCAGAATTCAAGCTGCACAACCAAAAAAAAAAAAAAAAGCTCAGCGATGGGGCGGGAATGTAGCTTAGTTATAGAGTGCTTGCTGCTTGCCTAGCATGCATGAAACCCTGGGCTCAATTCCTCAGCACCACATAAACAAAAAAAAAAGCCGGAAGTGGCGCTGTGACTCAAGTGGTAGAGTGCTAGCTTTGAGCAAAAGAAGCTCAGGGACAGCGCCCAGGCCCTGAGTTCAAGCTCCAGGACTAGCAAAAAAAAAAAAAAAAGAATCTCAGGGACTTTCCTGCCCAGGCTGGCTTTGAACTGTGATCTTCAGATAGCCTCCTGAGTAGCTGGGATTACAAGTACGAGCTACCAACTCCTGGCTAGCCATTAATATTTACCTCTGGTATAAGTTTCTAATAGGGGCACATAGAAGAGCGCTCAGCCGGGCACCGGTGGCTCATGCCTATAATCCTAGCTACTCAGGAGGCTGACGTCTGAGGATCATGTTTCAAGGCCAGCCCAGGCAGGAAAGTCCATGAGAGTCTTATCTCCAGTAGATCACTTGAAAACCGGAAGTGATGCTGGGCTCAAGCTGTACAGCGCTCACCTTGAGCTGAAGAGCACAAGGACAGTGCCCAGACCCAGAGTTCAAGCCCCACAACCGACCAAGAACAAAAACAAAAAGAGCGCCCACCTGTGAGTGTTTCCTTGGGGTAGGGTTCCTACAAAGCCTCCCTCCCTCACTGGACCCCTGGGAGCCCAGCCTCATACCTAGTGCCTGGCTTTACCCCTTTTATTTTGTTTTTTTCGGGGCCTTGGCGCTGTCCCTGAGGTCTTTTGCTCAAGGTTAGCACTGCATTGAGCCACAGTTCCACTTCCGGTTCTCTGTTCCTTGGAGATAAGAGTCTCACAGACTTTCCTGCCCCGGCTGGCTTTGAACCGTGATCCTCAGATGAGTAGCTAGGCTTATAGGTGTGAGCAGTGCCTGCTTCCCCCACCCCTTTTTGGTCACACTTACTCAGCATCTTGATCACTTGTCTCCGGCCCTTCAGCAGCAGGTGGACCCTCCGAGAACTGGGGGCCCTGGCCTTTCTCCCGTCCTTGGCTGCCTGTTGGAAGAGCTGCAGCCTCTCCCGCCTCAGCCGCAGTCCGATGAGCAGGTAGAGCACGCTGATGGTGGCCATGGGGAGGCCGAAGAAGAGCATCATGGTAGCCTGCACCACCACGCTGTAGACGCGCCGGGGGTGGACCAGCGTGCACAGCGTCGAGTTGGGCACCAGGCCCCGGCAGGGCACGTACAGCTGCTGGAGGCCGTGCAGGCTGGTGTTGGGCAGAGAGCAGAGTACGGCCAGGACCCAGATGACCCCCAGCACCCGACGCACACGAGCCCAGGTCAGCACGGACCTGGCCTTGAGCGGCTGCACCACAGCCACATAGCGCTCCACGCTCAGGGCTGTGATGTTGAGCACTGAGGCCATGCAGACAGTCTCAAAGAGCAGCGTGCGCAGGTAGCAGCCCCCCAGGCCCAGCTGGAAGGGGTAATTGTGCCACATCTCGTACAGCTCCAGGGGCAGCCCCACCAGCAGCACCAGCAGGTCGGACACGGCCAGGCTAAAGAGGTAGAAGTTGGTGGGCGTGCGCATGGCCTTGTGGCGCAGGATGATGACACAGGTCAGCCCATTGCCCACCGTGCCCACCACGAAGATCAGCAGGTACGTGGCACAGATGGGCCAGGGCGTCTCCATCTGCTGTGGCCCCAGGTACTTGATCCTCAGTGCCTCATCCGTCAGGTTCAAGTCCTCGAGGTCCAGAGGTCCCCTGACTTCACTGCTGTTGCAGGACGCAGGGCTGCTTGTGCCGTCTGCAGACAGGCCTCCGGGGAGGGCCGAGCAATTGGGGCACAGAGGAATCTGAAACAAAGCCAGGAGAACACTCTAGAACACCATAGAGAGAATCTCGGCTCTGTCCTTACTTATCAAACCAAAGGTGTTAGCACTAAGATGACCATGATTTTACATCCGCTGAGCAAGAAAAATACCTGTTATCCATTGTGAGGGGCGCGATGATGTCAGAGATAAAAAAAAAAAAATCTTAGAAAGCCCGGTGCCTGTGGCTCGGCTCACGCCTGTAATCCTAGTCTGAGATCTGAGGATCACGGTTCAAAGCCAGCCCTTGCAGGAAAGTCCGTGAAACTCTTATCTCCAATAAACCACCAGAGGGCTGGGAAGGTGGCTCAGTGGTAGAGCGCTTGCCTTGCATGCTCAAGGCTCTGGGTTCGATTCCTCAGCACCACATAAGCAAAAAGAAAAAAGCCGGAAGTGGCGCTATGGCTCAAGTGGTAGAGCGCTAGCCTTGAGCTGAAGAGCTGAGGGACAGCGCTCAGGCCCAGAGTTCAGGCCCCACGACCGGACCCAAAAAAAAAAAAAAAAAAAAACCACCAGAAAACCGGAAGTGGCGCTGCAGCTCAAGTGGTAGAGCGCTAGCCTTGAGCTGAAGAGCTGAGGGACAGGCCCAGAGTTCAGGCACCACAACTGACAAAAAAAAAAAAAATCATAGATATGATCAAACATGGGCTTTTGATTGAAATTGGTATGATCTACTGAAATCTTGGCATATAGGACAGATCTTTTTTTTTTTTTGGTCATGGGGCTTGAACCTCTGGACCTGGGTGATATCCCTCATCTCTTCAGCTTAAGGCGAATAATCTACCACTTGAGCTGCAGTGCCACTTCCGGTTTTCTGGTGGTTTATTGGAGATAAGAGTTTCACGGGGGCTGGGAAGGTGGCTCAGTGGTAGAGTGCTTGCCTTGCATGCATGAGGCCCTAGGTTCGATTCCTCAGCACCACATAAGCAGAAAAAACCCAGAAGTGGTGCTGTGGCTCAAGTGGTAGAGTGCTAGCCTTGAGCTGAAGAGCTGAGGGACAGCACCCAGGCCCAGAGTTCAAGGCCCATGACTGGCAAAAAAAAAAAAGAGTTTCACAGACTTCCCTGCCCAGGCTGGCTTTGAACTTCAATCCTCAGATCTCAGCCTCCTGAGTAGCTAGCATGACAGGCATGAGCCACTGGTGCTCGGCACTAAAAAAAATAATAATTTTGAAGAAAATGAAGGAAGGTTGGCACTGTTCAAAAAGAAGGGTGTCAATACCTGATTTCTGTAACTGTAACTGTTCTTTGCAATCAAAATTCAAAAAATTATAAATAATGATTTATTGTTATTAGGTGTTGCACAGAGGGGTTATAATTTCATAAGTCAGGTAATGAGTACCTACCTTCCTTCCTTCCTTCATCTCTTTCCTTTCTTTTCTTTCCTCCCTCCCTCTTCCCTTTCTTTTCTTTCTTCCTTTCTTCCTTTCTTTCCGATAATGTCACCCTGACTCTGCTTTCCTTGAGTTTCCTCCTCGCCCGCAAGTTAAACAGATCATTTTTCACGTAGTGTGTACTTTACAGCATGATTGCGTTTGTTCACCTTGCTCCCTCCTTTTCTGCACCGCCCCCTTCGCCCTAGCTAAAAGAAGAGGGGAACAACTCAAAGCAAAAACTCAGAGCAAAAATGATCACTATGACAGATATGATCTTTAAGTGCAAGTGTTTGACTGCCTGGATTCAAACCCAAACTTCCAAGTGAGTTCTGTGTGACTTTTGGTAATGAAAACTTCTGAGGCTTTTTTTTTTTTAAGAAAAATCCAGGAACATATACAGGCTCATGCCTGTCTTTTTTTTTTTTTTTGCCAGTCCTGGGTTTGTACTCAGGGCGTGGGCACTGTTCCTGAGCTTCTTTTGCTCAAGGCTAGCACTCTACTGCTTGAGCCACAGCACCATTTATGGCTTTTTCTGCTTATGTAGTACTCAGGAATCAAACCTAGGACTTCATGCACACTAGGCAAGCACTCTACCACTAAGCCACCTTCCCAGCCCTCATGCCTGTAATCTTAGCTACTCAAGAGACTGGGAGTTGGAGGACTGTGGTTCCAAGCTAGCCTAAGGACAGAAAAGTCCCTGAGACTCAATCTCCTATAACCAGCAAAATCTGGGCTGGAGGCATGGCTTAAGTGGTAGAGTACCAACCAGCAAAAAACTGAGCAAGCAATAAGGCCAAGGTGAGTACAAGTCCTTGGTATGGAAAGACTGAGTGGGGGGGAGGGGTAAGGGAAGGAGGGAAGGAAAGGAAGAAAAGATCTGGGCACTGGTGGGGATCCAGGAGTTTAACAGACAGAGAAATCTGACATAGCTGGGCAATGTGGCTCATACCTGTCATCCTAGCTGCTCAGGAGGCTGAGATCTGAGGATCACAGTTCAAAGCCAGCCCAGGCAGGAAAGTCTGTAAGACTCTTATCTCCAACTAACCACCAGAAAAGCCAGAAATGGAGCTGTGGCTCAAATAGTAGAGCACCAGCCTTGAATAGAAAGACTCAAGGACGGCGGCCAATCCCTGAGTTCAAACCCAGGACCCAGGACCTGCACCCCCCCCCCCCGCCAAAAAAAAAGGTTTGACACAGAGCCAGACTGACATAGAAGGAGGGGACGGTCACCCAGCAGGGCGAAGGACAGAGGATCCAGCCAAACCCCGGGCGCTGTGCTGGGGTCTGTCCCCTGAGCCAGGTCTAATACTACTCAGTCCCCTCTGCGGGCTGCGGCTGCTTCCGCCCTGCGCCCCAGCCACGGGTGCGGGGCTGGGATGAGCGGGTGCGGGGTGCGGGGTGCGGTGCGCGCGGCCCGGCCCCCCGCGTGGAGGCCCTGCCCCGCCCGCTCCCCTCCACGATGGGTCACCTGCGCCCCCCTGCAGTCCCGGAAAGACCGACGGAGCCTGCGGGACGGCGGTCCCTCAGGGGCGCCGTGGGGTCCTCGGACCACCCGCCCCCGCCGGGGACCCCCGGCCCGCCGCCCGCTCCCCTACCATGAGATGGGCAGCCCGAGGGCCCTGCGGTCCCCGACCGAGGGACGGACGGACGGACGGACGGACAGAGGGACAGACAGCGACGACACGCGCCCGAGGCAGCACTGCCTGCTGATCGCAGCCGCCGGGTCCCCCGCCCTCCCCCCTCCCTCCCCGCCCCCTCCCCCCCAGCCCCGACGCCGCCAGGGCAGCCCCGCTGGGTCCCGAACCCTGGCGCAGGGGGGACCTCTGACCTGTCGCCTCCGACCCCATCGCCAGCCCTACCTTCCAGTCGCCCCCCCCCCCCACGCACGGGCCTCGACCTCCCCCTCCTGAAGCCCACGACGGCCCCGCCCGGTGCCACGCGCCCCCGGCCCCGGCCGCAGCCCCTCTGCGCCCGCCGAGGGCGGCGGGTCGGCCGGCCGGGCCCTCGCTGCCGCCCGGCGGCTCCCGGGGCGCGTGCCCGCGGGGAAGGGAGCGTCGCCGCCCGCGGGGCTGGGGTGCGCGGCCCCTGCGCCCCCCGGGACACCCCTCGGGACACCCACGGCGATGGGCCGACTCCGGAGACGGCCGCGGTGAGGGGCGGGGGCAGAAGCCCAGCTACCCGGGCGGCTGAGCGCTGAGGATCGCGGTTCGAAGCCAGCCCGGCAGGAAAGCCCGGGAGACCCTTATCGCCTACTGATCACAGGAAAAGCCAGGAGCGGCGCTGTGGCTCGGGTGGTAGAGCGCGCGCCCAGAGCAAGAGGCGCCCAGGTCAGCGCCCAGGCCCTGAGTTCGAGACGCGGGACTGCCCCCCCCCTGCCCCGTGGCCGGGGTGGTGAGCACCCCGGGATTCTGAGCGGTGTCGTCACTGTCGGGAACACTGAGGTGCCCGCCCCCCCCCCCCCCCGCAGGGAGCGCAGGGTTAGACACGAAGGAGCCTTCTCAAGAACTCCACATGTAAACACAGCCGCCCGCTGCGCCCGCCCGCTCCCATCCCCAGCCCCATCCCCAGCCCGTGCCCGCGTCCTCCCGCAGCGCCCCCCCCCCCCCCCGCACTGCCCGGGGCAGCCCACCGGCCCGCCGGCCTCCCGGAGGCCCCTGATGGCTCCCCTACCTGAGGGCCTGTCCCGGGCTGTCAGACGCAGCATTAAGGGTGCCCCGAGACCAGGAGAAGGAGAAGCATCCCCCTTCCTCCCCAAAAAACGAAAGCACCAGCCGGGGGCCGGTGAATCATGCCTGGGAGGCTGAGATCTGAGGATTGCGGTTCAAAGCCAGCCGGGGCAGGAAAGGCCGTGAGACTCTTATCTCCAATAAACCACCAGAAAACTGGAAGTGGGGCTGTGACTCAAGGGGTAGAGTGCTCACCTTAAGGGAAAGAGCTCAGGGACAGGCCCTGAATTCAAGCCCCATGACCCCCCCCCCCACACACACACACGGCAAGTACTCGCCACCATCTTGGCTGTAGCCCCCACTCCCGCCCTGTCAAGAGGGGTCCTGAGCCTGACGCCTGTGTCTCACGCCTGTAATCCTAGCTACTCAGGAGGCCGAAATCTGAGGATCACAATTCAAAGCCAGCCCAGGCCGGAAAGTGTGTGAGACTCCTATCTCCAGTGAACCACCAAACAACTGGAAGTGGTACTGTGGCTCAGGTGGTAGAGCGCTCATCACCTTGAGCTGAAAAGCTCAGGGACAGTACCCAGACCCAGAGTTCAAGCCCAAAACAGAGGGCTCCTGGGAGCCCTGGGCTGGACCTGAGCTCAAGACAAGCACCAGGGCCTGCACCAGAATCAGAGCCGCCTCCTGTTCCCAGGTTCTCAGGGTGCGGGCTTGTCTCCCAGGCGTGGTATCAGCCCACAGCACCCCACCTGGCTCTGCAGGAAACTCGTGCAGAGGGCCCTGGGGACCGATGGGAAAACTCCAGGTCCTGGAGTGTGTGCAGGGCCTCAGGAACTGATTGCGCACCTGTCCCCCAGGCCGGATCCAAACTAGAACCCACCTCCCCTGCCTAGAGCTGACCTGGAACACCTGCCCAGCCCATCCACTTTCCTGTTGAT